GGCTCAATTGTGGTCATAATTTGAGAACTATCTGTAATGGCTGAATTTGACAATTTGCTTTGACTATTTTATTTATTTAATTACATTGAACCAGCTAACAAAATAAAGTTAAAAATATAAAGCAGAGATGACAATATAACTTTAAATTTAATCATAACAATTATTTTAACACACTAATGACAGACAAATTATAAATGTAGAAATGGTTATTAAAAGAACCATGAACTCAAGAAGAATCAATAAAGAATGACATAACAAATCCAAAGCAATGTCACCCAAGACCAAGCAAGACAAAATATTCTGGGAATTCACGGAAAACCAAACCAACAATTGTGGTCACGGAATAATCAATTATACTTTTTAAATACATCCATAAATAGGATGTATTTATCTGGAATTGGATTTGTTTGTCAATCTTTGAGGAGAGGAGAGAGGATGGTCCTTCCAAAAGATACAGTTTTTGGCAAACACAAATCCAGCATAAAGTGCTTGGTAGAGATCGTTTAGCCACTCAGCAGAATTCCTGAAATGAAAATCTTGGAGGAAAGCAGCTAACTTGTGAAGTGAGTACATCATAAGGAACATAGTTGAGAGTAAAACATGATGGCTGTCATTTTTTCCATTTAAGAAACACTGAAGTAGAAGATAATGCCCTCTAGACAAGCTTTAGAAGGCCAAGGCTAGACAATATTCCAAACAAAATGGGTTGCACTGTCCAGGTGATAAGTAAGAGTATGAAAGTCATGTTTCCAACTATTTAGGAAGAAAAATCAGGAAATATAAATAAAGGAGTACTTTGCCCCTATAAACAATAAAGGCAAGCATTTATGCAGTTGCCAACTTAATAAGATGACAGAAAATAGGAGTAAATTTGGGTGTGCCACATTTTAGTTTCAATAATCCTATCAAATGGGTAAGAGATTAACAAGAAGGCAGCCTCAGAAGCAGAACCTATGTGGCAATGATTCTGAGCAATCAACCAGCCCCATCATTCCTGACCTGGAGCCAGCAAATGCAGAAGCCTCCTCCACCCAGCCCTTGGGAAATTTGGTAAGTTGTCTCAAGAAAGAGTAGCGATGCATAGATGCAGAGGCAGGTCTAGCCACACCTGATCAAGATCAGCTGTGTTTGGGCAGGGTTGGAAACTGCTGGTATTTAAGGAGGAACTTTGGCTTAGCAAAGCTATTAGAATAGCAAGTCCTGATTATCAAATCCTTTTCCTGAAAGGATTACTGTCAGGGTTCCCCAACAAAGAAAATAGCAAACAAAACTGTGAGGCAGGTAAATTCCTCAAAGAATAAGTTTATTGGATAGGTCATATTGGCACAGCTGGTGAAAACCAACTCTGACTCTTCCTGTGGTTTTCACCTAATTAAAAGTAAAAGTTTTTCACTTTCTCAAAACATTCAGTCATATGGTCCAATCAGGATACTGTCCAGTTGCTAGGTGATTCCATTCCCCTCCTTCTGAGCACTTGCAGGAATGTCCTTGGTTCCCAAGAGAAAGTATTTTGTTTTGACTACAACACCCCAATTATCTCTATTCCTCTGTCCCTGTCCATCTTCTCCAGTGTGTCAGTGCTGAAGTCTCAAAACAGCCTCAGTCAGGCCAGCTTCAGGACTGACAATTACTTTATCATCTGATTGTTTCTCTTGCTGGTCTTTTAGAAGCTTTTTGTTTTGGTGAGTTATAATTTTATACATATGCAAAACCTTGATTGAATTTATCATTTGAGTAACATGAAATGTTTATTGCACCATTAAATCAAATAAGAACCACCATTTGTGAGTCCAAAGAGACAGCAGTCATGGGCTTGAATGGTTTTGCCGTTAATATAGATGAAAAAAGAGAAGTTTCAGACGAAAAGTGGAAGCGATATTGGAAGACAGAGATATATTACACTTTTACTGAAATGCTTTATCACTGAGCTAGAGAAAAAAGAAGTATCTTCTTTTTTCAAGAGAAAAGGAAGAGATGACTGCAGAGTATACCTTTATAAAAGTGAGCTCCAAGCTCAATCCAGGAGGAAGCCCAAAATATGAAGAACCTAATATTGCAAAGGATTGAAGTGTTTTTGAATTATGTTATCTAAGGATTTCGACTTCTGAGAAACCAATTTAACCTTCTTTAATTTGTTCCAGAGGGATTATGGAATCGAAATCTGAGCAATAACGCAGAAGAAATTATGCTCTGTATTAAACTCTCTCAGTGGCTCAGACTAGGATGTAACTATCAGGCTACTTGATAGGGCTTATTAGAATGAATATCATAGTATTTTGATTCACATATACCAAAAAACAATACATGACCAGTTTCGCCACATATTCAGATTTATAACATGTACATGGCCAAAGTTTATTCTATGATGTTTCAAGCCTTAACTTGGAATTAAGGTCATAAATCATTGGAATATATTCAGTGCATTAGCATTAGAAGCTATCCAAGTCATGATGCTTAAGTGTTTCAGAAAGGATGTATAAAATCCATCAGTATCTATCTTTCTTGATGGAGGACTTGGCTATATATAACTGACAAGTCCCTATACAGGATGAAACCAATCACATATTGTCTTCTGGTGGTTTATATAAATGAAAATACCACATAAGATAATACAATATTTAAAAATAAAGACATTTCCTCTTTGCCAGTCACATCTACCAGACCCACTAGAGCGGGAAGGCAATGAATGTTGCGGGACCCATCCCCTAAGGAGATACATCTGGCGGGACCCAGAAGAAAAGCCTTCTCCATGGTGGCTCCTTTTCTCTGGAACATCATCTCCCCCCGAGATTAGATTGGCTCCCACTCTAACACTCTTTCAGAAGGCCCTGAAGACATGGTTCTGCCTGGGGGCCTGAGGAACCCAAAGCGGGATGGATCCCATTAAATGGCTAGTATGAATGTGTGTTGTAGGGGGTTATTATGGTATTATTTTTCTTTTTATTATTTTCTTTTTATTTCTTTTACATGGTGTTTTTATATCTTTGTAAGCCGTCTTGAGTTGCCACATGCAAGAAGGTGGAAATATAAATTTTCTAAATAAAGAAACAAAACCTTGCACACAAGGATTTGGCATAAGCCATTTCTCTGAACATTTAAGGGAAAGTGGAGCATATATATCTTTCTGATACCTCAGTACCCAACTGCTTCAAAAAAAACCCTGTTGAATTTGGTACTTGACACGTTTTGACACAAAATTTTGTCTCATTTGTTTGGTACTTGATGCGCTGCAATAAGAACAGGGGACAGCCTGTGGAGAATGGACAGGAAGATTATCATGCCAGGAAGATTGCTGCAAAAGGTTGGCCGCAGAGGTTGGACAGAGAGGTTGGACAGAGAATCTATTATTGTTGCTAAATATGAGGAATTGGTTGTTGTCCCATAATAAGAATAAACTAACCTTCGGGTTGTCTCTATATGATTTATTGCCTTCGTCAACACATGCAGTTTCTATTCATGGTGTCTTTTCTGCTATGGCTGGCTGAGCTGGTTGGCAAGAATGTTATCACCTCCAGGCATGTGGATTGCCGAGATAAAGATAAAGTTGATGGAAAATCAATGCTAAATCTGTAATGTACAGTGCAAAAGAGGGCTCCATTGGATCTCCTTCTTTAGTTATACCAAGGATTTCTCCAATTAGAATTGAATATGTTGGTCACAGACACAGCTCTTTGAAGGCCCAGGGTTCCTTCTAAATTATGAAGAGCTTAAGTCTACCATATTTTTAAAGAAAAAAGTTATTAAAGATTATACAGATTACTGAGAAATCCAGAAAAAAATAAATTATCTAAATTTATCTAATTATCTAAAAGGTTATCTAGTAGTTTTTAAGAATACTAGGTAAACTACATTACATTTTTACTACTTTATCATGAATTTGTAACAAGGAACAATTGTTTTTTCAGTTTGCTGAATGGTATTTGAATGTAAAATTTAAAGAAGTTTATCCTCCCAGAGGGCCACTTTTTATCATATAAGTATGAACATATTCTTATCATGCCAACACTGATTTTTGAACATTTTCTTGACATATTGTTTTTCTTCTGTTTAATCATGTGCAGTTCTCAGAAAGACAAATACCTGCAGTTTTCTTGGCGAGGTTTTTCATAATTAGTTTGCCATTGTCTTCTTCCTAGGGCTGAGAGAAAGTGATGGCTCAGGGTAACCCAGATGGCTTTGTGTCTAAAAACTAGAACTCATGGTCTCCCAGTTTCTAGCCTGGTGCCTTCACCAGTAACCAAACCAGTTCTCATAATATATATATAATATGTTATATTGTGCTATGCTTTATTGCCTTTATATATTCTTTTAAATGTGTTTACTTCATTCACTTTATTTTGGAGAAGACTGATTTAAACTGAGTCAAACAGAAGCTCAAATCTTTTCCATAAACTTGGTGGTGATATTAAAGAAGCAAATGGAAATACCTCCGATGATTTGAAATAGCCAATGGCAGAAAAATTCTGTAATAAAAACCAGAAACAAGGAGAGCTTGGCTCTCACCTGTAAATTTACAGGAAGTATATTGGTATATAACTGGTTCCCTACAAACTTCATTTCATAGTAGAATATAGATATTAATCAATTGCATGTCTTATTATTTCATTTCTCCACAGCCCCAAGAGTTTTTTACTTCATTTCTCTGCCTCCAATATATCATTTCCCCGTTGTGATTTATAAATATGATAAATTTCTATATTTATCATATTTATAGATCACCCATGCTGAACTATCTGGCCATTTAGCAAGTTCTGCTTCTATAATGCCCCATCCTCTAAATGAATGGTGTGAATTCTTCTCTTATAGTGTATATAAAAATGGCTGATACTTTTCTGCCATTACCAGACTATGATGCAGAAGTTATATGCCCAATTTCCTCCTTTCCAACATCAAAATTCACATAATTCTCCCAACTGCTGGGCCATGGGATGGCAATGATCTTCAGAAGAGCACTTTACATGCATAGTATCTCTGCTCTTCTGGATGTAGACACCATACACTTCTTTTTTTAAGAACTTTATAGTTTATTATAACATAAAATGCAATTGGAAAATAAAAATTAAGGGAAAAAAGGGGGCATGCAAACTGTAAGCAAAAGAAAATAAAAAATAAAAAATAAAGCCTGACTCTGGCTCTTTCCAACACAGTAAAATACTAACAGTTATAGATAATGTAAGGTTGAAATTATAATTATTACAAGCCAATTCTATAATTTACACAATTCTAAATTTAGTAAATTTTTACTAAAATTCTAAATATCATTTTTCCCTATATAAAGCATAAAAAACCAGAAGCAACATCTCAATAGAAACAGGGCCAAATAAATTTTCTGTGTTTAGAACAATTACATTGCAATCTTAACCAATCCATTTTTCTTTCTTTCTTTTCCATTATTGTGAAAAGTAATATATATTTCTATTTAGGCTTATTAAATTTTGTAGATGATCTTCATTCATATTAACAAAATTCACTATACTCTTTCAATTTCTTTAACCTTACAGGGAAAACTTATTTTATATCCATTTTAAAATTCCAAATGTTTATTTAAGTTTTTTTCTAAAGTTAACAAATTCTATGCATCTTTTCTTTAACTTCCTCTTAACATACCTATCTTCAAATTCTATTTCAATAAAATGCAACTAACTTTATGAATTATTCAAGCACTACATATAAGAAAAAGAAAAAAAATTCAAATCCACTTTATAAACATGAAACCATACATTGGAACTTTCTTTCAGCTACATGTATCAGACCAGTAAAAAATCCATCTTAACTCAAATTAGCTCATTAAGTCACTCCTTCCGACCTGTCCTCATAAATTAAAATATTTTTTTATCTGGAATGTCTATCAAACAAATATAAACTTTTTTTTGCTCAGGAGATTCTTAACCTTGTTGGTATCCATAAAGAAAAAGTCCCAAACTTCTCTTGAGGATTGTTGATTTACTTGAAAGAATTTTCTTTCATTTGCACTGGAAAACTTACATTTAAACCATCTCATAATAGGTATAATTGGTTGGTGTCAGATTTGTATTCCAAAATTACAGTTATCTCCTTTGCATTGTTAAATACTTGTGGAATATCATTTGTGGTTTGGTTAACTTTCTGCAAATAATTGCATCTCTACATTATTCAACTTTTTTCCAATAGCTTAAGTAATTTGTTTCTCTTGCTCCTCTTTCATATATCTTTAGAACATACTGGTAATTGACCTATAAACTGATTTTTTTATTTAAATATTTCTTGAATATAATTTTGGCATCTGATGCATTCAATATTTCTTCATCCTCTATTCTTTAGCTCCCTTTTATAATAAAGAATAGACTTTTACAAATCAATTGATATTTCCTGGCCAATCAGAATTCATTAAAATTGGAAGATTTTAACCACCCGCAACAAAAGTCCAAAGTTACAGATTTTAACTCCCAACATCAAATAAGAGTGGCAGATTCATATAAATGACAAAATAAAACCACAACTTTTTAGATCCTTATGTTTCTCCATCAAAGTTAATATAATAGTACTCCACACTTCCTTATTTTAGCTCCTCTCCAGCAGCCCTCTTCCTTGTCATTCAGCAATAAGAATGGTGAATGGTGCAGATTTTCAGAAAGGAGTAAGAGGCTGTGACTGAAAAGAGCCTCTTTTACCTTATTAAAGATAATAATCTAATGAAGTGTTTAAGAAATGAAAGGCATGACTTATTTCCCATTTGAAAAATAAATTCCAAAACAGCTGTTTTTTCAACAACAAAGTGATTGAAGACCTGCCCCCAGCTGAATGGCTCACTGACTGCTCTGAAGCACAGCTCCCCAAATCTTCTGCAGACAGCTATTGTATGGAGGATCTTGTGGGATGATTCTAGGACTCTTCCTAATCCAGGAGAGTCCTGTAAACTGAGGGAACACACAGTTTCCTTGTTAGTAAAGTGAAAAAGCTTTATCCAGAGAAAACTCCCTTTCATGGAACTTTCCCCTAGATTGGTTAGTCGGCCCCCTTCACCAGAAGCCACCGACACAATACAATTCTATAAGTTCTAGGAAGTTCTAAATATGGCTCTGCAAAGGCTGATAATCTATATGTGTGAATCATAGAGGTCATGATGAAGAACACTAGCAACATTTAGGATTTTGATGTCTCTCATTATTGTCTACACATAAACTATACAAATATATCTTCTTAACATTGTAAGACAACCATCCCTAATTTGGTAGACATTAAGCTATCATTACAACGCATAGTTTACATATACAATTACAGTCAAGGCAAAACGCTTTCTTAACAGCTTATAAGATTTATCATTCTTTTCATATTGCTGAACACAATCTAAGTTTCTCCTCTCAAGTGGTATGGAAGAGTAATATGCTTCATAAAAAATAATAAAGACTCCCTTCCCTCCATATATTGAAAGATGTGACACATAGTGAAGCATTATATACACCAAGATGCCATAATATATATATTATATAAATATAATATTTATATTTGTAATAAGACTTGCACCATGTACATGAACACTTAATTTAAGAGGCATGTAGAAATCACATTGTGCAACTCCAGAACATCAGATCGTATCTTAACACCAGGTTTGACATCAGGATCCAGAACAATTAGTTGACAGTAGCCTCACCTCCAAGGAGGTCATATTGCATATGGTGTCAGTGACCCCAATGCAAAGTCTGGCATGCTCTTGAATACTGTAGAGCAGGGGTGTCAAACTCAAGGCCCAGCCCAGCCCGGCCTGGCCCGGATCCAGCCCACGGGGTACTTAGATCTGGCCCGTGGGTCAGCCCTGGAAACAGCGAAGAACTGGTCCACAGTGCCTCTGCCAGTGAAAATGGAGCTGCATGCGGTCCTTCAGAGCTCCATTTTCATTGGCAGAGGGTTGCAGAAGGCCATCGCACCTGAAAACGGAGCTTGGGAACCTGTTTTCTCTGGCAGAGCTCTCAGGGCGCCACAGGCGCCCCTGGCACAAATGACATCAAGCTGGCCACGCCCACCCTGGCCATGCCCACTCCACCACCGCCGAGGTCAAACACAACCCTGATGCGGCCCTCAATGAAATTGAGTTTGACACCCCTGCTGTAGAGTGTAGGCCCAATGATTGTGGTTAAAACAAACCATAAAATATTATTTCAAAATTGAAATAGTATGGAAACTCTAGAGGGCCATCCTGCAAAATATCATTTGCACATGTCTTACTTAGAACCTTTCAGGTACAAAAATGTGAAGCTGTACAAACATGTTTATACTTTTTACTGCATACAAATCTGCATACAAGTATATTTTATACAGATTTATTTATACTTTGTACCATTTAAACTAATACTTATAAGATCACACATGGAATACTGTATCTAGTTTTTGTCACCACGATACAAAAACGATATTGAGACCAGGGGTGGTATTCATTTACCTTCGCTACCGATTTGCAAATGTGAGCACACGCATGTGCACTAGCTTCGCTCACACTTGCTACCTCCACACATGCGCAGAGTGTCAAAAACGGGATGTGATGATGTCTGGGCAAGTGGACGGAGCCTCCTGCAGCCACCGCTACCGGTTCGCCCAAACCGAATAGAACCAGCTGAATACCACCACTGATTGAGACTCTAAAACAGGTCTGTCAAACTCCCAGTCAGCGGGCCGGATGCGTCACGTGCTGGCCACGCCCACACCCAGTTTAGCAAAGGTGGGGAAGTCCTGATATGTCATGTGACACCGCCGTGATGATATGAGTTTGACACTCCTGCTCTAGAAAGAGTGCAGAAAGAGAAGAGCAACAAAGATGACTAGGGGACTGGAGGCTAAAACGTATGAAGAATAGTTGCAGGAATAGGATATGTCTAGTTTAAAGAAAATAAAAATTAGGGATGACATGATAGCAGTGTTCCAATATTTGAGGGGATGTCACAGAAGGACAGGGGTCAAACTATTCTCTAAAATACCTAAGGGCAGAACAAGAAACTTATTAAAGGGAAATCCAACCTAGAACTAATTAGAAATTGTGCATCAGTGAGAACAATTAATCAATGGACAATCTTGCCTTCAGAAATTGTGGCTGTCACTGAGCAGCTGAGAGCCAAAAGGAAAACTGCAGCCCAGCTGAGCCAGCCTAAAGCTCCTGTTATAAGAATAAGCCCTGTCAAGGCTAGAGAGAATCCTACTTGCAGTTCAGCAGGGATCCTATGACTGAGAAGGATCCCTTCTGATCAGAGGTGAAATCTATTTACCTTCCTTACCGGATCGGAAGTGCATGCACCACAGACCCTCTGCACATGTGCAGAGTGTAAAAAACACATAACTTCCTGGTTAAAACCAGGAAGTAATGACACTCGGGCGGGTGGGCGGAGCCTCGCACTGCCATCACTACCGGTTCTCCGAACCACCTGCCACAATCGCTACTGGATCACCCGATCTAGTTCGAACCGGGAGCATTTCACCCCTGCTTCTGATTAAAATGACTCTAGAGTCCTTGCGTATAGTGCAGCCGTCAAGGTGCAAGAAAGAGGCTAGTGACAGGCCAATGAGGAAGTCATGGTCTACTGCACAGGCCTTATTTAGTAAGCTTTTAGCCTACTGAAGTCTAAATCCTAGAGTTCATAGAGGGGCTACAAAGATACTCCCTCCCTCAGTTAATTGGGGAAGAAAAAGTAGGCACCTAGATCTTTACAATGCAATATGGGGAGTAAATGACATTATGTACAACCAATTTACCAACAAGCTATGTATCACCTCACATGCATGACACCATCCTAAATCCAATCTAAAGCATAGACTCAAAACAGTGAAATTTTACAAAGCCACATTAATATGCTTATATTCCACTTCTCAGTAAAGATGACAACAAAACTAAATGTAAAAGAAAATAGGTAGTTCCAAAGGGCCACATAAAGCATGAAATAACCAGTTAAAATTACAGTTGTGGAATTCTTGGTGCTCCCTGAGCTTGTTTGCAGACATTTTATCATCTGAATATGTAACATCTTCATTGTTACAAGGGAATAGAATTTGCTCTCTGTGTATATACATACAGTAACCTGCCTCCACCAAGGGCAAATTACTGGATATAAACAGAAAGCAAAGCCCATTCTCTTCTAGTACTGAAAATATTACCTGCAAGCAAACAACCAAGCTCAACCAAGCTCAGAGAGCACCAGAGACTCCACGGTTCAACTCTGAGTTATTGATATTCTCTTCTATTGATAAAATTACAGCTATTACCGTGTTTCTCTGAAAATAAGACCCTGTATTATATTTTTTTGAACCCTGAAATAAGTGCTTGGCCTTATTGCCATGCGCTCAAAAGCCCGATTGGGCTTATTATCAGGAGATGTCTTATTTTGGGGGAAACAGGGTAGTGAAACTATAAATAAACATAACTGCCCAAGTGCCCATTTTAGTTACTCTAAAATATACTACCAGACATTTTATCTGTTTTGACTGCGGATAAAACACCAAGTTCCTTTTCAGGTTGACAAATTGAAGAGAGTTAAACGTTAAATACTACACTTCTAACATCTTTCAGACATATAAGAAAATTCCTGGATTCCCAATATTATCACTATTATTCCCATAATAATAATAATAGATTTTGTCAGATATCACACAAGTGACTGAAGTTATATACCCATGTTTATTTTTCCTTATTTATTTTCATATCACTAGTCCTCAGTAAAGTCATCAAAAGGAAAAGGGCACAAATCTTTGGAATCTGCCAGCAAGCACTTTTGTTTACCTGTAGAGTTAAGAAAGAAAGCAGTTGTTAGAATTATTATTGTGTAGTACATCTCTCTGATCTTTGCAGTTGCTTATTATGGGTTAAGTATACAGAGAACTACAGATTTATTTCTCATCACTCTGGTGCAATATAATGTATGATAAGATGAAAAGATTTCTGAAAATTATCCTATCACAAAAAAGTGAAAGCACAATAATGTAGTTTTTCAGCAAATCATTGGGCTCATAAGAACTACTCTTTTTTTCAGCCTCTGATGAAGAAAAAGTCAAAAATTTATGGCAAGGTGAATTCAGGTGAATTCAGGGTGTGAACATGATACTATCATCCACATATTTAGTTTTTTTAAGTGTCTGTCATAAGCTAAAAGGGGGGGGGGAGAATCTGCTTGTTTGTTTTTAACATCCTCTTTGACTACTCACTTTTCCAAAATGTATTGGATGCATGTATTGGAAGAATAACTTGTCAGTTGCTTTCATTTACAAATCAAGCTGAGCAGAGGGCGCATGTGCAAAATCCCTTGCTATGGTTCACAAAAAGGAGAGGCAGAGCAGGCCAGGCAGGTTTCTCTTTATATGCCTGAATACTGAAATTGAAATGACTCTGCTGCACTCTTTCTGAAGGGCCTTTTTTCTGCCATCATAATAAAAAAAAATTCCTCATTTTCTCATTTAATTTCACTGTGTACTTTCTCAATGGAACATATGTATGCAATGTAAATAAACATAATCCATTTGGTGTGTGATTATTTGCTTTCTCCTATGTGAAAAAAAAATAATATTTAGGAAGAAAAGAAACCCTCAATCTAGAAAAATATCTTAAGAAATAAAATGAAGTCATGTCCTAATTACATCTCCGTCAATATTGGCTAGTAAAAAAGGAGATTATAGCCACTATGTCAATATGTCTTAATTTATAGTTAATAGCTGGGAAAACTATTAGTTAACTATGAATGACTTGCCTGTTCACATAGAGAAATATTGCTTTCTCATTACATGACCATAAAACATTCATTTGGGTACTATCATTCAGTATAGTAATCCATTAAACTAAAACAAACTTACATTAAAAAAAATATTATGAATTCAAATTAAAATAATATAATTAATTTTGGAAATAAAATAAATTATCCCTCATTTTCACATTTCCAGGATGTAAAATTTCAGAACCATCTTTACCTTCATTCAATATCCATCTCAAATGTATCATCAGTTTTCATTGGTTGCGCATTATCACAAGTCCCACATTCCTCCTGTTTCCTCTTTCTACGTTTTTTCCGACAATAACTTTGAAAAGAAGTAAAAAATTATGTTATGAGTTACAAATATACATACATATATATATATATATATTTCATATATTCAAAAACACAAGAGTAATAATAAAAAAATAGTCTTGTATTTTTACTTGTTAATTTTCAGCTCACAGAACCAGTATCTCCAGTGAATGTTCATTAACTGTTTTAACTGGAGAGGTTTCTTAAATGGAGTTTGTTTATTTGTTTGTTTGTTTTGTTTATTTGATTTGTATACCGCCCTACTCCCGAAGGACTCAGGGCGGTGAACAGCCAACAATAAAATACATAAATACACAAAATTTAAAAAACCCGATAAAATCAAATTAAACTTTTTGGCCCAGACAAATTAAAATACCCCAATAATTTAAAAACAGATTAAAATTTACATATTTAAAAAGGGAAGAGATCAGACCAAGCCCGAGTGCCACAGGTGTTATGTCTAAATTTTCTGCTCTTCAATAATTTTATAAATGGCTTGGATGAGAACTTAGAATGAGCTGGGGAATCTCTTCCCCTTTATATATTGCTGATCCATAATTTCTAGTTGCCCCAGCCAATATGACCAGTACTCAGGATTATTAGAGATGTCATGAAAATTATTAGAGATGTGATTATATACCATCACAGATTGTCTATCACAGGTTCAGAAAAAAGGCTACCAAATTTGCAGCTGATAAGAAGCTGGGAGGAATAATTAAAACCAAAAAGCAGGAATCAATATATATTGATAAGTTGTAAGGCTAAGTCCAAATCAATAATATAAAAAGGATAATCTGTAACATGATTTAGCTATAAAAATTATATACATATATGCATACGTACATACATGCATACATGCATACATACATGCATGCATGCATGCATACATACGCTTATCCTAGGCAAGATCAAAGGCTTCTGGTCCAAAATTCTACATGGGCCAATCCAGATATTATGGATCATCCATAACAGAATGTAAGTCAGTAGTATAATGCAGCTATTAAAAAAGTTGAAGCTCAGATACTTTGGCACCAAATGAGAAGAGAGGACTCACTGAAAAGACCTTGATGCCGAGATCTTTGAAGGCAAAAGGAGAAGGGACAGCAGAGAATGAGATGGATAGATAATACCATTAACGCTGTGGGCACAAATTTGGGCAGACTCAGGGAGACAATGGAGAACCAGGGGACCTAGCATACTATGGCCCATGGGGTCAGGAACAGTCAGACAAGACTTAGCAACTGCACAACAGCAGTTTAAAAAGCTACAATAACAGAAAGTACATTACCTAGGTTGCACACAATTCTGTTCTATTTCTCTGTCCATTTATTATATTATATTAAAAAGAATTACATGGAGTTTACTATTTCTTTGGAGCAATAGTGTAACAAAAGTATTGTACTTATATCTAAAGGTACTAAACCCTTGTAAAAAATAGATGTGGAAATAAGTAAATTTATAATTTGATTCAAAAAATCTCTTTGAATTTCTTCTACTTAGCTTTATGTAAATGAACAATACTGAAGAACATAATTCTAACATAGCTAGAATTAAGGAAGAAATTTTACCTCAACCGGGAATAGTAAATTCAGTTTTATTTTCTTCATAGATATTGCGTGTGGGAACGCATGTACGTGTGCATGTTATACAGTATTGGAAGTTCTAAAAGTTATAATTGTTAAAGGCTGATTAACTTAACTACATTTGTAGTTTCATGAAAATACATATAGAAGCCAAATTTTCACTTGGGTGTACTCACTGAGTGCAAGTGCAGATACATGCAATCAGGATGATAAGCATTACCATAACAGCTATCAAAGAAACCACCACAATTTGACTTTGATCTCCTCTTAAATGAAATAAGTCCAATCGTTCGCATCTTTCCCCAGTGTAGCCTCTCTCACAGCTGTAAAAAATGTAGAAAAAATATTTTGCAAATCAGTTGCAGTCTATTTCTGCACTAGCACCTATCCCACATACAGTACCCACTTGTGACAATCTTTCCTAGCCTGGTCCCTTCTAAATGAGTTAGATCACAATTCCATCACCATTAGCCATGCCAACTGATGATTATGAGAACCATAATGTGACACAGCTGAAAGGTACAGATTGAGGAAACCTATGAGATCTGCAAACAAATTGCACATGCAGATGAATCTTAGGGTTTGAAAACTGCCATCCAATGGAATTCCTGATCTAGAAGAGCTTCAGCTGCATTCAGGGAAATATCACCTAAACAACCTAAACAACTTAATGTGTGGTCTTCAACTTCCAGAATTCCCTAGCCAGCATGCTCTGTCTCCCTTTATAATCAAGCATATATAAGATAACAGGTAAAAGTATAAACATAATTTGAATACATGAAAAGAGTAAGTAAAAAGGAATATTAGGACAGGGATGGTAGGCACGGGGTTTACTCTATTAGGAAAAGATTTGGAAATAAGCACACAGTGGAAGATTTGGTATATATACCTTTTTTCTACATGTGTTCAATTAAGGCATTTTGTGGCTGAGCACCGCGTCAGTTGGACTAAATCAGTATTTCCAGATCAGTATTTCTCAATCTTGGCAGTTTGAAGATAAGTGAACTTCAACTCCTAGAATTACCCACATAACATGCTGGCTGAGAATTTTTGGGAATTGAAGTCCATACATTTTCAAGCTGCCAAGGTTGAGTAACTCTGTACCAGAACAACTCATCACAGAAGAAAGAAGTTCCAGTTTATATCCTACCCAAATTGAGTAATTTCTGGTGGTGTTGAAATCTTAAACATAAAGATAAATGATAATAAAATAAATTAACAATGAAGACACCCAGAATTATGTTTCTTATAGAATGGTTGGCATATTAGGAAACTTCAGTTGTCTTTATTGAGTAACTAGTTGACATATCTTTACTTTCTGTCAGTCAACAATCCTTGAAGCCCTACTATGGCCACAACTAGTAAGTAATGGAGAAGGTATACCGTAATTATAAAATTAGGACAGTTTCAATCACCCCCATTATCCTCTAAGCAGATAGATAAAAATTCATAAAGTTATATTAACTTTAACTCTAAATCTTTTTTAAAAATCTTATGCATGGGATCATATTGCATGTTGAGGGTATGTATGAAATAAAGGTTGTAATATTGATATGATTAAGTCCAGAATTTTGTAATACCAAATCTAAGATATTGGCTTTTTTAATCTGAGAAGAAAAGTAATTTTAAAAATTATAGTTTTAAAAGGTTAAAAAAAATCAACCTGCTCTACCTCATCTTTAATCTCACAGATTTGTCATATGCAAAGTGGACAACTAAACTAGAGAGACTCCTTTTGGGCATTCTTTAGGCAATGTAAAGCAATAACTAAGACATTTTATGAATTTCTTAATAAATAAGGCTGTAACATTTTAGCAATCATCCTTGCACAGGTAAAATTTTGTTTACTCATCAACATTAAAGAGAACCTGGAGAGGAATCCATAATTGGAAGGCTGCATTAGTATTTTTGAAGAGTTTTTACAGTATTCATTCCAGAATTGAAAGAACAGCTGAAACAAACAGATTCAAATAAGTAAGACATTTGGCCATTAGTAGATAACAGAGGCAAATAAGTACATATTTGGCCCGAGCATGACATATTCTTTGGAGATATTTGGCCATTGAAGTCATGCTCAGGTTTAACACTTGGGAAAAGGTATGTTTGGTTTTGGAACCTACATGCAGGATGGCGTTTGTACTGCATCAACATAGCGGCATCTTCCCTTGACACAGAAGTACTTGTACTTCTCAGGACATTCAGAAAAATGTCCACTCAATCTCAAATCTAGAAATAAGAAAATAAAAATATAAATAAAATATATATATTAGGTTCTACTTAAATACTTGCTCACCTGGATTATTTGTGACTAACTTTTTCCTGCTGTGCTATCTTTAATAGTTTCCTCATTTTGAAAAATGTTTTCAGTAATTGTATACTTAATTCTTTTAATATCACTTTGAGTGGAAAATTCCACATGAGCACTCTGTCTTCATTCCAATTCTGTGTCCCATTCAAAGATAGCACATAAGGTTTTCAGGAGCAATAAATAAACTATTTACTGTTTATTATTAAGACTTTAACAGTACAATCTTATTCATATCTGCATAGAAATAAGTCAAAAGAACATTAAAAATGTGTTGAATCAAATGAAAGTCATATCAGGTCCAACAGTCTGTTTCTGCATTTTACCAGTAAGATAGGAATGTAATGCTAGCCTGTGTTCCCTACAATTTTGTGAAAAGGCTGATTTATAGCCACAAAAGGACTTAGTGTTCCTTTTTTCATTTGTTTAATTTTGCTTAACTGCAATACAACAGAATAACAGAATTGGAAGGGACCTTGAAGGTCTTCTAGTCCAACCCCCTGCTCAAGCAGGAGACCCTATACCTTTCCAGACAAATGGATGTCCAGTCTCTTTTTAAAAGCCTCCAGTGATGGCGCGCCAACAACTTTTGAAGGTAAAATGTTCCACTGGTTTATTATTCTCAGAGTCATTGTCATTATTCTCTTCTTGATTAGTTTCCAACCATTGCTTCTTGTCTTCCTTATGTTGCTTTGGAAAATTGGATGATCCTCTTTTCTTTGTGGCAGCCCCTCAAATATTGGAACACTGTTATCATATCACCCCCTAGACCTTTTTTCACTAGACTAGATATACCCAATTCTTGCAACTGTTCTTCCTATGTTTTAGTCTCCAGCCCCCTAATAATCTTTGCTGCTCTGTTACTCTTTCTAGTGTCAAAATCTTTTTTATATTGTGATGATCAAAACTGGATGCAGAATTCAGTGTGGTCTTACCAAGGCCTTATAAAGCAGTACTAACATTTCATTGATTTTTTGATTCTCTGTTAATGCAATTTGGGTTTGCATCATGTGATGTATTGTGAAGTATTGTGACTTTTTGCCTTTGCAGAGCTGGGGTGGGTGTGACTTGCATGTGATGCATCCGGCCCTCGGGCCACCAGTTTGACACCCCTGTTCTAGGTGTTCTCAGATTTGTTGCTTGATTATCTTTTCCAGAATCTTCCCGGGCATTGATGTCAGGCTTATTGGTTTGTAGTTTAACCACATCAGCTCTTTTCCAGTCCTCTGATAGTTCCCTGGTTCTCCAGAATCTTTGGTTCCGAGCTCCCGTCTGCCAATTTTTGCAGAACTCTAGGATGTATTCTCTCGGGTCCTGTTGATTTGAACTCATCTAGAGTGGACAAATGTTCTCTTATCATTTCTCTCTTTTTTCCCCTATTTTAATCTGAATTCCTAGACTGCCTTTTAAGGTTCTGTTTTTCTGTATGTTTTTCTATATGGTAGGTTGGGCTATTTTTGTGTGAAGATAGATGCAAAGAAAGAATTAAGCAGCTCTGCTTTCTGCCTTGTCACTTCCTTGCCATCTTTTCGCATTAGTGGCCTAATTGTTTATTTGACTTTTTTCTTATTTTTATATGTTAAAATAAACTTTTCTTATTATTTTTGACACGTTGCAATTCTTAGTTCATTCTGAGGTTAGCTTTCCTGGCTTCATTTTTGCAGATTGAGGTTATATGCTGATATTCTACCTTAGTTATTGGTTGTTACAGCAAAGACAGCTGATGAGTCTGAGCTGCAGAGAATGAAATATAAATAATTGGAAGAGAGAAAAGCAGGGCAGAAGAAGGGGAGAGAAATGGCTTTATATTCAATTAAGAAGATTGACAAGGTACAAGAGCAATTTAAAAACAACTGGTGGATGTAAAATAAAAGAGATTTATCAAGATGGGAAATAAGCCTAGTGAAACTCTGAACTTGGTGAGAGATTAGGCAAGGCAAAAATTGAGAGAGATTTAGATCTTGCAGAAAGTCTGATTTGGCTCTTAGAGGTCTCATCAGCAAGCGAATATACAGAACATGAACATATTTCTTTCTCTGTCAGTCTCTGCATGGCAATAATTACGTATCTTTGATCGTTTTGACTTTATATTTGTTTTTTGTTTTTTTCCCATGGGTTACATCTACCTTTGAAAATTCAAAAACATTTGCATCCTCAGACTCAAGGATAGTTCTTCCAAATCCAGATATTTTCCAATTCTTGACAACTGTCCCTGGGTTTGGATTAAAAACTGCACTATTATATTAATGTAATTTTAAGGGATTATTAATAATTGGACAGAAAATGGAAGGCAAATAAATTTCATAATGAATAAATTCAAAGTTACTAATGATCAGTAACAAAATGTATGCATCTATATTTCTTTAAAGAATCATTAAAATAGGATATATTTATAATTAACATATTACAAAATGAGCCTAATTGTGATTGTCAGTTTCCTAAAATGTTGTGCATTGTTACATATAATTACAATGAAAATATTTATTCATTAGATTTCTCTCCTGCCTTTATTTTCTATATAACTCAAAATGGCATAGATAATGCTAGCTCTGCTTATTTTCCCCATAACAAATCATAGTTACTCAACTACCCATACTCAAAGGACAATTAGAACTACTAGTCTCTTGGTTTCTAGTCTGTAACCATAATTAATATGTTAATTAATCAGTTGAGCAGTCTTCCTCCCCATTATTGAAAAACAATGCCATTGTCAGGAATTAAAATCCATCTGTTACCTATACATGTTCCATTCATGTAATCACAGGAAAGCTTCTTGGTTTCTGGGCCAGCTGTTGCATTTTCACTGCTAGTCACAGAGCTGAAAATGACTATGCCTTTAGTTGGGGAGGAGAAGAAGGCAAATTATTTCAAAAGTATATTTCAAGTAACTAGACTCAAATTACAATAATACTTCTACTAAGTGTACCGTTTGTCTCTTGTTTCTAAAGATACAATTCCTGTTTCATTATCTTAATCCTAACAATGTGGGTTTTGCTATGCCTTACTTACTTATTACTTACATTACCTATGTTCAATAACGCTTTAAAAAGTACCTCATAACATTTGCCCTCAACTGTTTGAAAGGTCTACATTTAATAGCACAGTGGCAGATTAACACATCTTTGCTAACAGAACTTCCCCAGACAAGGAAAAACTGAGAAACTGTCCATTTTTACTCCGCAGATTTGCTCTTTGAGAGAAGCTTGACAAGATTTGAAGGGGCTTTATCAGCTACACACGAATAGAGCACCAAGAGTCATGGAAATAAACAGTATGCTCAAAGAGTCTATAAATATAAATTTATTTATATTGTTTATTTATTTATGTTCATATTGTAGAAAATTAAATGCAAACATCTGAAGACAGTAGCAATTTTCCTTATTTATTTAAATTGATAAAAAATACTGAAAATTGTTCATACTTTAATACATTTTAGAAACAGAAAAAATATTGATAATTTATTTCACATAGGTTCTGTTAGGTTTCCATGTAGATTGTTCTAATTTATTAGTTCCATTTTTCACTCTGATAAGTCTGGCAGGGCAGTGGCTCAGTGGTTAAGATGCTGGGCTTGTTGGCTGGAAAGCCAGCAGTCCAGATTCGAGACCTGAGTGCCATGCAATGGGGTAAACTCCTACCCTTGACCCAGCTCCTGTGAACCTAGCAGTTAGAAAGTATGCAAATGCGAGTAATTAAATAGGGATAACAGCACTCCGTGGAGTCATGTTGGCCACACGACTACGGAAATGTCTTCGGACAGCATTGGTTCAATGGCCTTGAAACAGAGATCAGCACTGTCCCCTATAATCGGCAACGACTAACGGAGTTGAATCTGAAGGGTCTCCTTTACAAACTTTTTATGTCTAATTTAAAACTACTATAACTATGACTGATTTTTCAAAAACTATGAAACTGTCAGATACACTAGAATTTTATTTGCAACTGATTAAATTGATATTTACCAAACTTACCTTTCCCCACAGAAAATAGACTGTGTTACTATGTATAAATTTAGCTAATTTAGCTATGTATAACTTTAGCTATTTTCACTGCTGAAAGTTCCAACATAAGACAGCAAATCACATTGGATCACTTACATTAATTTCTAAACAAGCATGTCTAAAATTAATCTCAAATATATCTTTATTCCTTGATATCAATATAGCCTTCCAAGTCAGCCTACAATCACTATTACTAAATAATATTTTCCTCACAGGAGGCCTCAAACAAACATTTGTAAGAATTTCTTCAGTTGGTGACATGGAATTAATCCTCAATCCCCTTTATTAGCTCTTTCCAAAAGAGTTTTTTTTTTTAATCACTGTTAGGCCCAGATATATATCAACTGTACAAACCAAGTCCCTCTTACTAAAGCTTTCTTAGACTGGATAATGATATTTATAAATTATTTTTATAAATAAAGGGTAATAATTTTATTTTATTTTATTTTATTTTATTCTTGCCTACAGGATGCAACTTATTCAAATATTTCTAATTTTGCACAGCTGAACACTCTTTCACAAATTTGCATGTATGAAGAAGCCACAAGAAGTAAAAGAAAAAAGAAAACTGCTGCAGCAGTAAAGAAATTCCCTGGAAGCAGTGCTGTTCCCACTCCCATTGGGCAAATTGAAAAATTGATGGCAATTTCAGGAGTATCCTTCTGTCTCTGTTCAATGATCAGTCCTTCTATATTAGGACACCATATAAAATTCAGTAAATAAATAAGAACTGCCAAATATCAAGAATATTTATTATAATATAAATATTAAATGACAAGATTATGGGAAGTTTTATAATTCCAAGTTTGGTAACTGAAATGAGAATACCCTTAAGATAAGTACATACTTACAAAATGCTATAACTGAAATGTAAAATTTGTCCCAATTATTACAGATGTGCAGAAAAATAGTACAAGTAACTTGTTAAAGGTTAAAGTATCATTAAATTGCTTAAATTTCACTTATGTAAATGAAACAGTTTAATAAAATACTTATTTACTGGAAAAGCCAATGAGTTACACAAGTATTTAACTAAGCAAGGACTGCAACCTTCAGAAAGAAGCATAATTCTGCTCAGTCACCTGACATATTAAATATGAAAGGTTTTTGATTTTTAAAACATAGAGTAAGTAAGATAATAAGAGGGAAAAATATTGAACTAAATATGCTTGAAACACAAAGCCAGAGTATCTTTTTGAGATTTTGAAGGCTACAGCAATTAACAATGTAATGAATAAAGAAATAAACAAAGAAGCTACCACATGTAAGGTTCAAAACAAACACAAATATTGCTAACATTGCCATACCAGTATCTCAAAATTACCAATACAATTATTTTAAAAAATGTGCTGGACCCCATACCATAGCTGAAACTTTTGTAGACAGGATGCAAATTAAACAGTTGCATCTGTACAACAGTTCTGTAGAGCTTGCTTGCTTGCTCCCACGCTCCCCCCCTCCCACTCTCTCTGTGTTTTAATAAGAGACAAGTAGGAATTCCTAAGGAAAAAGTGTCTGAAATTCAACATATTTTGCAATTGCTGTTTTGAGATTAAAGAGAAATCTAGATTTTGGAAGATTAAGGTTGAATTTGGCAGTGAACTTCTGACTGCATGTTGCATTCACTTCTGTGAGTTAAATGTTATTATTTATAAATTGCAGAAAATATTAATATGTTTAAAATTTCAATCTGTTATAAGCATAATAGTATAATTACTGTAAGTTATAATTAAAATGGAATTATCCTTTTTCTCACACTTCCCTTTTTCCCTGGCTCAAGTCATAGCCCTGGAATGGAATAGTTAATTATTCCATTAATTGTCTTGTTGCCTCCTTTATGTTCCCAAGGTCTTTTAGGCATTTCATCACAGTACCTGAATGTGAGACCTCTGGATTGGTAGACTGGTAGAAATATTCTGGGGGAAAAATATTCTAGAATATAGCAAACCATTTCCACACTATTGTCAAAGAAGCAATATGAATGTCTCCATTTTGTCTCCAGGAGTTGAACTTAATTTGAGGGACACTTTATTTTGTAACACTTATATAATGGACATTATTCACCAGATATATGAACAGGACTTTGTCCCAAAAATAGACTTCATTTCCAGGGTAAGCAACAACATAACAGTGTCCCAACAAAGGAAGTAAGTAGGAACAGAAAAGCATGGATGTTTTTTAAAAGTGTGTTTCATCATTAAGCTTTGACTACTAGTATTAAAGCATTCCAGGAGTTCCAGAAAAACATGTAATCCAGTTAAACCACTTGCAATATCTCAGGGCAAGTGCCATAGAACTAGAAAATATTCCACTATTGAAATTGCTATCAATATAAATAATGTGATGTTTAGTAAAATTAATTGGCAGAAAGTATTTCCCAAAGACTATTACTAGCAGATGAACAAGATATATGTTCTGTAATGCCAATATTTTAAAATAACCCTAATTAATATGTTGTAGATTATAAATTACACTGATTCTCTTTTGCTGATACTATGATACTATGAATACTATGAAATGTCATGAGTTTATACTCATGAATACTATGAAATGTCATGAGTTTATAATGCAAAGTTATAATACAATGCAAATTAACACAGTAATTTTTTTCAATTCTCTATAATGTAATAGATTGTTAGTGATGTGTAGTGATATTATTGCAAAATTTAGTTAACAAACAATATAACTTAATAAACACACAAGCCCACATTATAACAAAAACATTTAAATGAGAAATGTTACAAAATATTTAGGCTGGTTTGTGATTAGACCAGAGCAGTCTTTCTTTACCTTTTAACTTGTTTCAAACTATCCTGGGTTCTAAGGCCCCTTAAAATAAACACACAGGATAAAAATAGACACGTAGGTACTCTATTTAATGGGTATCCTGCCAAGCAATGCTGTAACGAAGGCAGTCTAATCTAATTGATGATATACTTGGCACCTCAAAAAATCCTACGTCAGATTTCCCTAGCTATATAAAAGTGGGTACTTGGTTTCAATAGCAAGGCCTGAATGCAAAACTCGGAAGGAAAAGAAGAAGGAAAGGAAGGAAGGAAGTCTGATTTTATCATTAATGAGCAAGGCTTTTCAGTTGATGGAATAGATTTGACCATATTCCAAGAGGGCAGGGATAAAGTCTTGTCAACAGCAGCCTAAGCTATCTTTTTCCACAGAGCTTCCTATCTTAAAAAAATGATCTCTCTTTGTATTACAAAGTCACAAACAGTCATAATTGCAAGCACTTTGCTGTTCAAGTAGATTGAAGACATGGATAAGTTGATTTCTTTCTTTCTTTTTCTGGCAGCGTTCCTATCCAAGATAAGCAACAACACTCCAAGTGAAGGTGAACCTGCTGGGGGTTTGCTTATTAACTTACTTGCTTATTAAATTCATATGCTATTGATTGATTTAATGTATATGCCGCCCCTCTCACTTTTATAAGACGACTCTTATAAGCTTATAAATTGATTGGAAATCCCTGCCAGAGAAGAGAAATACTGACAGTAGGATTTAATTACAAATGTCATTCTCTTTTCCAGCAAGGGTCCCCGGGGCATATTAGTTGCATGACTTATGTCAGAAAAGGACGCACCTGTTGAACGTCTGCCTGTCGTGAAGCTATCGAAGGGTGTTCTATGCAAGAACAGCAGCAAGTAGCCAGGAACCCACCCGACAACCGTGGTAGGTAGAAAGGAAACGTCAATCCTCACCCAGGAGCAGCAGAGGGCCAGAACCCAGAAGCGCGTCTAGAGCCATCAAAGCCGAACTTCACCTCCACTAGCCACCGGACTGCAGCAACTTACACGAAACAGCCACCGCCCCACAACTTGGAAAAGTCAGGAGGCGCCGCTTAGACGGAAAGGCGCAGCCTCTCCGGCAACCTGAGACAGGGGTTCCCCCGCCTCCTGCTTCTCCTGAAGGCACAGGGCTGACTGTTCGCCGTCCGCCCTCTTTAACGCCTTACGTGAAAAGAAGTATCAGCCATCTCTGCCATCCGGAATCGGCCGAACACCTGGCGCCCTTGCTGCTCCTACTCCTCCTGGCACGGACGGGGCGGGGGTTGGCGTCACCGTCTTTCCTTCAGGTATATAGGGAAATTTTTCCCAGTCCTAGAAGAGGAGTATTACTCCTTGCTCTTGAAGTATTTACGCCACCAGTCAGAGGACTCCTGAAGACTTCCGTAGCAAACATATCAGGCGCAAAAAAAGGAGCGGGATAGGGTGTGATGAAAAGAACAGACGGAAGGATGCGCTCAGTTGGCAGGGGTAGGATCCAGACCTAACTGCAATGGCGGGAGACAAAAGCGATGGGATCCAAATATCATGTCAATACCGAGAGTAGCAACTCAATCCTTTGGCTGAATTCACTGCTCAGATTATTTAAACTGAGGAGCCTTAATGAAATCCATGTGCTGTGATTCCATCCTCCGGAAAACACCTTTGTGGATCTCAGCTCAAGAAGCATATTATAGAAAAGAAACAGCAAAGACAAATAGTTGATCTATAGGAAATTATTGGAAAGTCATCAAGGGGAATTTTTAATTATGTCAAGAGACCAGTTAAGGATATAGTTATCAATAGTTTCCCATTTGCAGTTATCAAAAAGATTCAAAGTGGACAAAAAGATTTTTGGCATAGAGAGACAATTTGAAGTACAATTGTGCATGATGATGAATAACTAATTCTTAAAAATTGCACACTTTTGTTGAAATTTGATACAGAGAAAGACCAGGTTAAAGAATGTAAGAAATTTTGATTATAATATACAGATTGATCAATGGGAAAATATGTGGTGAAAAAAATGAAATTTTTATTGTGTTATGAACGCAAAGAGAATTTTTATAAAATGATGTGTAATTGGTATATGTCACCATAGAAATTATCTAGAATGTACGAAGGCATTTCAAATCTATCATTTTATCATGCTTGGTGAATATGTAAGAAAGCTAAAAACTTTGGATTCAATTACATATATTTATATAGAGATTTTTAAATAATAATATTCAGTTGAAGCCAGAATTTTTACTTTTAGGACTAATGAATATACAGAAAAAAGCCCAGAAGATTATTTTAGTATATAATTACTATGGCAAGATTATTACATATCCACAAAGATGGAAAGATCAAATGCTACCCACTATGGAGAAATGGCTGACAAAATTGAAGATCTTGCTGAGAGGGATAAATTAATTTATTTGCTTACAGAAAAGACAATGTCTACATTTATTGATGACTAGAAACCCCCTATGGATTCTTTTTGCATAAAAGTGATTAGAAAGGACACATTGTAGAAAGAATGGAATAAATAAAGAGAAAGATTAAGATATAATTGTATTTACAATTGCCGTGAAGAATATTGGAAGTCTGTCTCTTATCTTTTTCTTTCCCTTCTATTCTTTTACTTCTTTTCCTTTCTTACACTGTGTCTTTAATTCTTTTCTCTTTTTTTCCTTTCTTTATATTTATATTAGATTGAATTTTTTATTTTTCTTTAAAAAGGTTTAATAAAAAACTTATGGTATGTATTTCATATACCAGTATTATATAAATTATATAGGTATAAATATTATAAATAAAATTGCTCATCTTTCAACTCTAGCCCTGGTGGCGCAGCAGACTAAAGCACTGTTATTAACATCAGCTGCCTGCAATTACTGCAAGTTCAAATCTCACCAGGCTCAAGGTTGACTCAGCCTTCCATCCTTTCTAAGGTAGGTAAAATGAGGACCCGGATTGTGGGGGCAATAAACTGACTTTGTATAAATACACAAAAGTATGAAGGCTATTGCTTAACGCCTTGTAAGCCGCCCTGACTCTCCAGAGAAGGGCGGCATATAAATTAAAAAAAAAAAAGTCTATTCTGACTAACTGCAGTTTGCTAAGGCTGCTGGTTGTAGATCTTATATCTAACAGCTTTTGGGGGGAAAATTGGGATAATAACATCCTGCATTCACAATACATGCAATCCCCACAGACCAGAATGAAAGACTTAATGCTTCATTTCTGGGTTTCTTTTAAGAGCAAAAGCCTGCCTTAGGCTTAACTCAAGAGAGCCAGAGCAAGTATGAAGAATTCTTGTTTATTTTAATAAGAGGTTTTGTTTTGTTATTTCTCAGGCTGATCTTGTCTAGGCTCCTAAATTAAGCATGTTTGGGCCTTATCAGTACTTTGATGGAAGACTACCAAGTATATCATGGCTGTAAACTGGTTTAGAAAAGCAAAAATCATCCTGGAAGAGCCAATGGAAAACCACTTCCTCTATTATTGCAAAATAAACTATATGCATGAAGTCATCAGGATTCAAGAATAATCCCAAGGATATTTCTTTTTTGTCCAAATACTTTATTTTTGTTCTGGTGAAAATGAGAGTACCTTAACTCTTCACACTAGAATTATAGGCAAGCTTTTCTAAAAGATCCTCTAGGACTAGGTGACTATTAGGATCTAACGGACAAGGACAGAGTTTGGGATATAAATAATAGATAGGTTGACTCTATGGCAGAGAAGGCCTATCTCCTGGGACCCACCAAGTTTAGGTCCTTAGCAAATGATATCCAGAGCATGCCTGCCAGATCTGATGGGATGGGGTGATGTAATCAGAGAGAGATGGTCCCTTAAATAACCTTGTTTGATTGTTTTCTTTATTCCTGCAGCTCATGGATCAGAGATGTGACACAGAGTACACATACTGTCATTGTCTGCAGCCCTCCATTCTGCATCATGGATGGAAATAATTTTTCACTCCCAATCTTTTATCTTTCCTATTTCTTGATGATTCTCCTTTGAAGGATAATATTTGGTTGGTCCCAGGAGATAGGCCTTCTCTGCCATGAGAATAAATATTACTGAATATGTTTTGCACAAAATCAACTTGTCTCTAAATATTTATTTAAACTTTTTTTCTTTTGGTAAAAGACTTTCATCTCCTCAGTTAAAATAATATCATTAACTAAGTACAGTAGTCTACATCTATTGCTTAATTATTTATATTTTTAGATTTGACTCCCATCTTTTCTCCAGGAGTTCAGAGTAATTTAGATAGATATTTCTCTTCATTTTATCTCTACAGCAACCCTGTGAGATAAGATGGGCTGAGGAAAAATGTCTAGGCAAAAGTCATTCAGAGAAGCTTGACTTGAATCATGATCCCTTGAATCTTTGTCCAATACCTTAAACATTACTATACACTACAAATGCTCCATCTTTTTAAACATGAGAGCACATACTTCATTTAATAGACCACAACACATTTAATAAATAATAAATGAGACTGCATAGTTCATTTAATAGAAATGGAATTGTACTATTGTTATATAAAATTCCAATATTAGGTATAGTTCTGAAAGAATTAGACATAGGGGAAATGATTTGGAATTTGGAACTGATCAATTATGTTTTATTTAATATTTTATAAAGTGAAAGAATCAGTACAAGGTGCTAGTAATTTCTCTAACAGTGAACTATATGCAGAACATGATCTTCTATGAGAGGAAAATGAAACAAGTGACATTATGTATTTCATGATGGACCCAGTCATCACGGCTAGTTAATGTGATTTATGGTTTATTACTATTTGTGGGCATTCAACTACATTTATTTGTATTTAATGTAGCTTATTCAATAACTTACAATTAACCAAACACATGTGACATAACATATAAACCAGATCATAGTGAGAACAATTTCAAATTCTGATTTCTTTAGAATCAAAATGGTGGCCATTTCAGATTCAGACAGAAATAAGCCACAGATGAATGGAACTCTGTTTAATGAGTAATTGAAGATCATTTCTTGTATCCATGCATGCTGGTTTTAAAAATTTAAGAAAATGAAATTCCTTATTCTTAATTGTTGCATATTTTCATCTAGAATCCTGAGGCATAGTATGTGTAAGCATTCCAGATCAACAAGTGCTCAGCTTCCTACTAAAAGTCTGTAGAAATTCTTAGTCATCCATGTCATGGTTGTCCCAAAGGTGCTTTTTCAGGAGGCAACTAGACTTTCTTGTTTTTTATTTTTGTTTTTCTTTTGAAGACGTTTTGCTTCTCATCCAAGAAACTTCTTCAGCTCTGACAGGATACTGGGGAATGGAAGGATTTATATTCCTTGCAGACAGCTGGTAAATTTGCATCCTTTTAGAGGGTCATTGAAGCAGTTGGAGGTCTATTTGTGTCTTCAGGGTCACTTGAGTAGTGCTCTTGATTCCTGCGGTCTGCAATTTGTTTTCCTCTAGAAGAAATCTATTCCTACTCCCACACTATTCAAACGGTGTTCATCCCAAATTGTATAGCTAAAAGTCTGTAGAGATTCTCAATCATTGAGGTCATGGTTATCCCAAAGATGATTTTTCAGGAGGCAACTGGACTTTCTTTCTTTTGAAGACATTTCGCTTCTCATCAAAGATTTTCAGCTGTCCGCAAGGAATATAAATCCTTCCATTCATCACTATCCTGTCAGACCTGAAAAAGCTGCTTGGATGAGAAATGAAACGTCTTCAAAACAAAACAAAAACAAACCAAGGAAGTCCACCTTTGGGTCAGCTTCATACTGTTCAGCAGCTCTGCTGTTACTGTAAAGCACTCTGTACTAAATCTTTAGTATAATTCCAATTGTATCATAACTCTCATAATCAAAATATTATATACATGATAAAGCTATAAAGAGAACTGCCCCAGTTTACCGTATAATTTATTATTTGTACAGCATTTGAGATGCAGCTGTCAATATATTATGATAAGGTTCAAAGTTACATTATGCCATGTTGAAACAATATAAGGGTTATATTATATAATATAAGGAAGAGATACATGCAGCCATCTTGGATTCTAATTTCTTCTTCCTCTTCCTCTTCTTCCATCTTGGATTCTAATTATTTCTTCTTCTTCTCCTCCCTCTCCTCTTTCTCCTTCTTTTTTATCTATCTCTTCCCCCTTTCTTTTTACTTCTGTAGCTTTCATCTGGATGTAAAAGCTTCACAGTTTTCCATAGGAAGACCCTAGTAGCTATGGAACAAGTGTGACACTTCCTTAATTGAAGAACTGTGTTGTTATACTGGTTTACCTAAGACAGAAGAATTAATACTGACTCAAGTCAAAAAATAATTGTTAAGATCATAATAATTTCCAAATATCCATTTAACTTGACATTACTCCAACATGGAGTTTAATCACAATACAATGCAGGGGTGGGCTCGACTTACTTGTAATGGGAGTGTGCACAGCTGAAAAAAAATTGGAGTTTGGATGGTTGTTTTGCCAAAAATCTGCATCCATTTTTATTTTGTCAGCTCATTATGTTGGAGCAGTGGAAAAAAAATTCTGAGTTACTGATTTGGTTCATTAGGGCTAAGGCGAGCTTTATGATCCCTTGTGGAATTCTGTAAGGTAGAAAAGTACTGATAAATTAATCTAAAATTAAAGCTTTAGGGTTTTTTTCATAAATACCAAGTAAGAAGATAAGACATTGAATAAAAAAAATGTTTAAATGCCTAACAGTCATTCATTAAGCATCCAGCAACTCTGTGTAGCCGATCAAAAGTTCATTGTGTGAAAATATTTTAGCCCTAATTACTTTCCTTCAAAAAAGTCCTTTTTTCTTCATTCCAGGAGATGTAAAACCTTTTGGCCAAAGTAATCCCCATTATTTAATGGAACCCAAGCAGGATTGCACTATAATTCTGCCTCTTTAGAGATAGTTGAATAAATATTTTTGTGGAAAATATTCAAATATTCCCTTGAAATGACTTGCATTAAATTTTTTGAAGGGAAACAAGGCTACTAAAAACCCATAAGCCAAGTCTTCTTCTTATTTGGTCTTTACAAAAGGTTTTATCCTGCTGGACTAATTAGGAAATAAGTCCATTATATGCATTGGAGAGCAATGATGGAAAAAGCACTTAATTCACTAGTCCTGCTTTGGGAAGGCCTTTATATGCTAACCTCTGACCAGAGTTGCTGAACTGGATAACTGAATACCGGTAATAACTGAAACAATAATTGCCCTATTTTGGATACAGAATGGGAAATTAATATTACTTGCCTATTCCAATATCTCTCTTTAAGCAGCTCTGCTCCTTAAACCACTGAACTGTTTGAGATATTGGGCCTCACAGTGACACTTGCCTAGCTTCCCTATACCAGGAATTGTCTCCATTTTTGTTATTGTTGTTCTTAATGGTAATATACTTAATATAAAAGGGATGGACAGCATAAAAAATGTCGAAGCGTAAACCAGCCCCGTTCCCCTGGGGTAATTGCACTTAAATAGAGACAGATGGATCTTGTTTTCCATGCTGTATACTTTAAAGAAAGAAAACCCGAAATATATTCTAAGAAACATTTTATTGTAAAGAAATAAAACAAACTTACTAACTACATCATTACCGGCACAGACAGACAAAGAAAGAAAATAAAGTCAGGAAGTTTTCTCCTCAAATTTGGACATGCGCAGCAGCTCAGCAATCACAAGACAGTCTTATCTCTGTTGCTACAGAAACGTGATAAAGTTCTCTGGCAGGCTACTGTAAGTCTTAGGATGGAAGCTCGGCTGACAAACACATAACGCAGTGACAAAAAAGGTCTTAGGGAGAACCATGGGCAGCTTTACACTAAGGCCAAGTAGGCATTGGCCTAAGGAGCCAAAGTTCAGAGGGCACAAACACCCTCATCCTTGTGAAACTTTCTAAACATGCACATCTTCACAACAGCAGGAAATCTAGAAATAAAGAGAAATTTCCTGACAACTTAATCAGGGGAATGGCTTGACTTCAGAAATTGTGGGTCCTCCAACACTGGAGGTTTTTAAGAAGAAATTGGACATTCATTTGTCTGACATGGTATAGCGCCTTCTGCTTGAGTAGGCATTTGGACTAGATGACCGCCAAGATCCCTTCCAACTCTGTTATTCTGTTATAATTAAAATTGTGTAGAAATTTGGAGCCATTGCTCTTGTTGTATTTATTAACTTTAGTTATTATTGTCAGCTACATTTTAATTCTTCTGAAATTTTTCTGCACCACAACATGCAGAAACTAAATCTTCCCCAGTTCAATTGTCATAAGATGCATGTATGGCATGCACCTACAAGACCACTTTATTTTTTTAATGCAACTTCATTAATTTCAAGAAAAAATAAACTACAAAACAACAACATAAAAAGGGGGAAATTCAAACTGTTTTAAAGAAGCATTGACCTTATTACATCTCCAGCAAAATGCTGTTTTTCAGCACAGTCCTTTTCTCTATAAATATAATTATGGAATCCAATAAATTCAAAATATTATTTTTGTATATGTTGTAATTTGTGGACCACTGACACTATTGTTAGAAATTAAGTCACTCTTCCGTTGTTTAGAAAATATAGGAACCTCTAGTTCTTTATTCCTATCATTTCTTAATATTTGCAATCGAATTAATTTATTATAACAAATATCTACAGAAACTGATCAGGTATTTTTGTTTTAAATGATTTACAAGTTATTCTAGTATTACGCTAGTAATAGTGTAACTATTGTCATTGGGTTTATTAATTTAAAATTATTAAATTTATATGCTGCCCATCTCCCTATCCAGGGTTACAACTGATAACTTTCATAAAAATAATCTGTCCATCTCTTCAAGAGCACTTTTCATTTGAAAGCCATCAAAATGCTTTAGGATAGGAGCTGATTTTATTCACAAAATAAAAAATGAACAAATATACAGATTAAATAGCAGATGGAATTAGCAGAAAATTTTTAAACAAATTTGTAAAATCATGAGAAATAACAGAATTAAAGAAAAGTATTAAATCTTCTGATATGAAAACATTAAAAAAATGATGCCAGGTCATCTTAAGACAAAATTTTTTAATTATGGCATC